TTTTTGATGTTTGTTTTGGTTTCTTCTAAGGGAGAACTGGAGAGACTACTAGTTGCTATACGAGCCAAGATTTTTATGAAAATGTTTGGTCTTTTATTTTTATACTCTGTACATGAAATGTACAGAAGTATATTAGGTTTGCGGGAGCTGAAAAATGTAACAGGCAGAAGGAGGCGTGGCAGACCCCACAAAGTATATATATTCTTGATCAGCATGACGAGACGAGTCGATCTAGCCCTGTCTGTCTGTCTGTCAGTCTGTCCGTTTGTCCGTCTGTCCGTCCGTATGAATACCTGGATCTCAGAGACTATAAGAGATAGAGACACCAAATTTTGCACAAAGATGCGTTATGTGTGTATTCTATACGAGTTTGTTTTATTTTTTTGATTTTCCCCCCCACTTCCCCCCTATGGGGGTTTTACCGATTTTCCATTCGTATAATCGCCTATATCTCGGAGACTATATGACAAAGGAACACCAAATTTTAGTCCCAGGTGACTTATGTGAATACGCAGAAAATGTATATTTTGGAATTTCCCTCCTTCCCCCCTCTACCCCGCAAATCGTAACTCCCGTAATTCTTGGAATTTCGAACTAAAATTTTGGAAATATCCCCAGTTGGTTATTATATGTCCGTATACCAAGTTTCACTATGATAGACCGATTTAACGAGAAGTTATAGCCATAAATATATTTGCTGCTGCAGCGCTGCTCAAGCGCTGCCCGCGGCTGTTGTTGATGGTGCTGTTTGGTTGACTGCGAAAATGCTTACACAGACACGAATAGATGCGCATAGGCATACATACACTCACACAGACGCAATTGCTATGTAAATGTGCAATTATACACCCTTTACGTGAGTTCGAATACCGAGAGAGGTAAAATCGATCAAAATTTTTTTTATTTTCTTAATTTTTTTATTTTCTATAATTATTGTTAGTCGGGTGTCCCGGACTTTAGCTTTTTTACTTGTTTATATTACAACCAGGAGAAAAATCTTCAAAAGCGTAGTTCGTCTGCCGTCTGAAGTGAATTCCAAAGTAAAGTAACTGCTTCCATTAAAAAATTCATGGATACAGAATTATTGCTCACATAACAATACTATACTGTATTTGAGTCATCGGCACAAAAAAAAATATCAAAAAAATTTAACAACAAATATTAAGTTTTTTTTTAAACTTGGTACATATTTTAGAGAAACTCTCAATTTATAAACTAAGTTTAAGCGGCATAAATATGCGATCACCGATCGAAACGTCAGCCAAATTTTTAATTGATATTAATAGAAATGTAAATAAACATCAATTTACCGAACATTTGGGCAACTAAAAAGAGAGTGCATGGTGAGTTCCACACCACTGGATTGGAAACCAAAAATTGGTCTGATGTTTTAAAAAAAACAAAAAGAAGCATTTTGGTGCCTTTTATCTCTTCTGAAAATCGAATTTGCTGATAAAAGAAAAGCCTTATGTGAACGTAGAAGTCATCCAGAAGGCTTGTACTGGCAGCCGGAAGACCATCTCGGCCAATGACCTACAACACTGTAAATTAATGTATCTAGTCCGAAGAGGACTATTTAAAAAAATATAAATTGCTTCTGTACAACATTTTTTCCTATTTTTTAAAGTCTTGGCATGCAGCTTGTTTAAGTGTGCTGTGTTGTTTCTAAAAAGTTCAACTATCAGTTTCCATTTTAAGTAATTTTTGCGAGTGTTTGCGCTCGAAAATAAATCGGTACTACTTAAAAGGAAAACATAGCGCGACCAAACTGCCTTGGAGAATGTGAAAGAAAAAATGCAAAGTGGCAAGTGGCAACAACGTGACTGCCGCCAAGTGCTGCGAGTGGATAGAGACCAGAGACCACAGAGACCACAGACTCCGCAAGTGCCCGCTCACGTAGCAGCCACGACAGGTGGTTAGATGATAGAAACGTTTGCTTTGCTCTCTGGCTCATTGCATTCGAATGATTGCCACAGATTGCGGTGCAGCTCTTGTTGCTGGTGCTATTGCTGATGTTGATGCAACAATTAGCCTGAACTTTCAACAGCAACAACGCAAAACTGCAAACAAGCGTCTCGAATTTTAGGCAAAGAGCTGCAATTTGCAAAACATTTCCTCGCCAGTTCACAAATCAATCGCCAAGCTGTTCGAAATGCAAAACCAAAAAAACACAAAAATGTTGAAGAAAAATACGCGCACGGACGCGCACACATTGCGCCCACATCAGTGGCAGTGATGGGAGTGGGGGCGGGGTCTGGTTACGTTGCAGCATATAATGCGTTATGATTCGCCGTCTGTCTGTCCAAATGCCGGAAAGATGAACACGGCCAGATTATATGGCTTGAGCTGCCAGAGCGTGCAAGTGTGGGTGTCTCGAGCTGAAGGTGTCTGTGGGGCGCTTGGTCGTTCATTCCTCAATTTGTGGCACAAGCCCAAAAACTCGCATAAAGCTTAGTGAAATGCATGAGAGAACTTTCGGTGGAATTTAAAGACTGCTTAAAGAAATGCATGTCTGCCTCGTGCTTTCTTTAAGAGACACTTATTGCTTGTTTAACATTTAGATTAGATGACCCAGAACGGATCGACATAGCACTATGTAGATAACTGTGCTTGTAATGCTTATGTAATTGGTTGTAAAGACATGGGAGAGACTGAGAAACCAAAGCAGCTTCTTTATTTTCTAAAACATATTAAATTGTGTATATTTTCACTTAATATGAATCTGAATTTAAAGACTTCTTCAAGCAATACTTGAATATCTCATGCTTTCTTTAAGATACACTTATTGCTTGTTTAACATTTAGATTAGATGACCCAGAACGGATCGACATAACACTATGTAGATAACTGTGCTTGTAATGCTTATGTAATTGGTTGTAAAGACATGGGAGAGACTGAGAAACCAAAGCAGCTTCTTTATTTTCTAAAACATATTAAATTGTGTATATTTTCACTTAATATGAATCTGAATTTAAAGACTTCTTCAAGCAATACTTGAATATCTCATGCTTTCTTTAAGAGACACTTATTGCTTGTTTAATATTTATATTAGATGACCCAGAACGGATCGACATAACACTATGTAGATAACTGTGCTTGTAATGCTTATGTAATTGGTTGTAAAGACATGGGAGAGACTGAGAAACCAAAGCAGCTTCTTTATTTTCTAAAACATATTAAATTGTGTATATTTTCACTTAATATGAATCTGAATTTAAAGACTTCTTCAAGCAATACTTGAATATCTCATGCTTTCTTTAAGATACACTTATTGCTTGTTTAACATTTAGATTAGATGACCCAGAACGGATCGACATAACACTATGTAGATAACTGTGCTTGTAATGCTTATGTAATTGGTTGTAAAGACATGGGAGAGACTGAGAAACCAAAGCAGCTTCTTTATTTTCTAAAACATATTAAATTGTGTATATTTTCACTTAATATGAATCTGAATTTAAAGACTTCTTCAAGCAATACTTGAATATCTCATGCTTTCTTTAAGAGACACTTATTGCTTGTTTAATATTTATATTAGATGACCCAGAACGGATCGACATAACACTATGTAGATAACTGTGCTTGTAATGCTTATGTAATTGGTTGTAAAGACATGGGAGAGACTGAGAAACCAAAGCAGCTTCTTTATTTTCTAAAACATATTAAATTGTGTATATTTTCACTTAATATGAATCTGAATTTAAAGACTTCTTCAAGCAATACTTGAATATCTCATGCTTTCTTTAAGATACACTTATTGCTTGTTTAACATTTAGATTAGATGACCCAGAACGGATCGACATAACACTATGTAGATAACTGTGCTTGTAATGCTTATGTAATTGGTTGTAAAGACATGGGAGAGACTGAGAAACCAAAGCAGCTTCTTTATTTTCTAAAACATATTAAATTGTGTATATTTTCACTTAATATGAATCTGAATTTAAAGACTTCTTCAAGCAATACTTGAATATCTCATGCTTTCTTTAAGAGACACTTATTGCTTGTTTAATATTTATATTAGATGACCCAGAACGGATCGACATAACACTATGTAGATAACTGTGCTTGTAATGCTTATGTAATTGGTTGTAAAGACATGGGAGAGACTGAGAAACCAAAGCAGCTTCTTTATTTTCTAAAACATATTAAATTGTGTATATTTTCACTTAATATGAATCTGAATTTAAAGACTTCTTCAAGCAATACTTGAATATCTCATGCTTTCTTTAAGATACACTTATTGCTTGTTTAACATTTAGATTAGATGACCCAGAACGGATCGACATAACACTATGTAGATAACTGTGCTTGTAATGCTTATGTAATTGGTTGTAAAGACATGGGAGAGACTGAGAAACCAAAGCAGCTTCTTTATTTTCTAAAACATATTAAATTGTGTATATTTTCACTTAATATGAATCTGAATTTAAAGACTTCTTCAAGCAATACTTGAATATCTCATGCTTTCTTTAAGAGACACTTATTGCTTGTTTAATATTTATATTAGATGACCCAGAACGGATCGACATAACACTATGTAGATAACTGTGCTTGTAATGCTTATGTAATTGGTTGTAAAGACATGGGAGAGATTGAGAAACCAAACAAGCTTCATTTTCAAATTATGAAGACACATCTATATTTTCTAAAACGTCATACAATGCGTATATTTTCACTTAATATGAATCGGAATTTAAAGACTTCTTCAAGCAATACATTTCTGTCTCATTATATTAAATGACCCAGAACGGATAGCAGTGTAGATATAACTGTGCTTGTAATGCTTATGTAGTTGGTTTTAAAGACATGTGAGAGATTAAGAAACTAAAGCAGCTTCATTTTCAAATTAAGCAAGACACACCAATATTTTCTAAAATATCATAGCATATAATGCATATATTTTCACTTCACATGAATCGACTCTAAAGCTCGACTTTATTTTCTTTGACAAACAAACCCCTTGGCAGAGTTTCTTAGGCTTTCGGTGGCTCGACTAAATGCGATGTGCTCAGCTATCAGTCAAGGTAATGAGCCGGACTGGCAATAGTTACAAAATGTAATTCCTAAATAGCGCTCAGAGCTTACACGACAGTATTAAATGATCAAGCTGAGCTCTACAATTAGAAATAATAAGGGATTTTTGAAGATATCTCATTAACTTCTTCCCACACCCATCCATTTGCAGAGAAACCTGAATAGTCTGCCTTGGGCGCTGCTGGTGCTGCTCTTGCTGGCGGCTCTCGCGCTTCAGTTCGCGTCAGCAGCCGAGCAGGATGAGAGCGCCAGCACAGAGAGCAATGAGATTATACCACGTGAGGCCATCCAGAAGCTGGACTACTCAGTGCGGCAGGCGCTGCTGCGTGCCATAGACAAGCTGGAGCAGGAGGAGGCAGCCGCGGCCACAGCGACGCTGACTGTGACGGAGACAATACCGGAGGAGGTGGGGTCGACGGCGCCGACAACTCAGCCCACGCCGCCAGCACAAGCACGGGAGCGCGAGGAGATTCTGGAGGAGAGCACCAGTGCTGTGGACGCAGTGGTGCCAACCGTACAATTCTACACGGCGACCTTTGACGAGCGCAATGCGCAGGAGCAGTTGCTCTCCTCATTCATCGATCGCTCCAAGCTGTGGAAGAAGACAACTCTGCGCAAGCAGAGCTCAAGTGCTCCCCCCTCCTCCTCCTCCTCCTCTTCGCCAGCGCCATTGCCCATTGAGGCGAAGACGTTGGATGTGGGACCGGACAGCCGTCAGCTGACCCGCAGTGTGGGGAATGGGGTCCGCACCAATGAAATCTCGCATGAAGGCAGCAATGAAATCAAATTTGAGATACGCAACTCCAAGAAGGACACCACAGCACGTCCTGCCAGCAGCAGCAGCCTTAGGACGACAGCAATACCAACAACAACATCAACGACAACACCAAGGCCGCGCACCACACGCCGACGCACCACCACCACCACCACCACCACAACGACCACAACTACAACCACGCCGCGACCCACGCACAATGAGGATGGCGAGAACATCGAGTTGGTCGACAAGGAGGACATTCGCATACAGGAAGCACCGCTGGTCACCGCCTTCACGGTGGATCTGGACGAGCGCGGCACGGCCCAAAAGTTCCGTCCCATTGTGCACAACAGCGCGCTCAACTATCAGCAGCAACCACAGCAGGTGGCCCACATTGGTCCCACCATAACCAAGCTGAATGTTCTCGAGGCCGTGTCGCCGCCAACGCCACTGCCCACGCAGTCAACCACAATTACCGCCCAGACGACAACATCGACCAGCTCCTCCACAGCACCACGCGCAACCACTCCAGGCTTGCTCAGCGCCACCACCAACAACTACATCAAGGTACGCATTGCTTTTAGAATAAAATAATTAAAGCGTTCCACGACTAGATTCTTAAGTCAAGCTGAAGGGAATACAAGTATTACTCATATATTACTGAAATTTTGTACTAAGTTATAGTAACTAGATATTTCCTCATTTTCATATTAATACCAACTTCTTAAGATTCTTTGATTAAATTCTTTAGTCAAGCTGATGGGAATACCTCGCGTATATTGGTAAAATGTAGTGCTAAGTTATAGTAACTAGACATTTCCTCATTTGCATATTAATACCAACTGTTTTTAATTTGCAAGTCACGAGTATCTAACTCATGCAAGATTATGAACGTTTATACATCGATTTAAAGAGAATAGGCTTAAAGAAGGCTCAATCGCTCGTTTGTCATTCATGAACATTGCACGCAAGTCTTTTCACTCCTTAAGATATATATGCGAAAGGCAGGAATTATTTATTGATTTTGTAAAGACCTACAATGTTTTGTTTTTTCATTTCCTACAAAGGGGCTTAGAGGCCCTAAGATAACCAAACATATATAGTTTATCAAGAAATAACGTGTTATAGCAATCGTACGTGAGGGAAAAGAAATGAATGCTTAATCTTAATGCCAATCTTAATGCCTCCCTTTTGTAGCAGGAGCCAATTGTAGGTCTAGCGCCCGTGAATAACTATCTAATCGAACGTCAGCGCGCACTGGAACAACAGATCTATCAGCTCAAGTTGCAGGCTCAGCAGCAACAGGCATTGATTTTGCGCCAGCTGAAAATACTGGAGGAGCAGAGTCGGTTCCATGGAAACGGGGTTGTCGGTGGCATTACCAGTACGCCGATTGCACAGTCCAGCAATCTGCAGACGACGCAGCAACAGCCCCTGCCGCTGCAGCAGAAACTATTGCAAGCACCGCAGCAGCAACAGCAGCAGCAACAACAACAACAGCAACTGTCGCTGGAGGCAATACAAACGCTGCAGCCTCCGGCACCGGGTTACACCATAAGACCTTCAGTAGAATTTATACCCAGCACACATACCAAGACCATTGTCTATCCCACATATCCAATCGAGCAGCAATTGCCGCTGCGCGATGCGGTTGCGGGCAATAAATTTTCGCTGCACAATGGCAATAGCAACGGCAACGGCAACAGTAATAACAACAATAACAACTATCAGAAATTGGCAACACCAACGAATGCAGTGCAACAAATTTTCCAAAACTTGCAGCAAAATTTGCAAAACGCAGCGGAAAATGTAGCGGGCAATAGTCCGACGGTCCAGCAGCCGTTGCAGCCTGGAGGCCAATTCAGCTTCGCTCCCGCCCTCAACGCGCCCCCACAGCCGCTGGAGGCGGCATTGGTGCAACCACTGCCGCAGCATGGCTTTCAGCAGTTTCAACAGCAACAGCAACTGCAGCAACAACAACAGCAGCAACAGCTGGCCGTGCCAGCCTATGTCAGCAATGCGATCTACCAACAACAGCAGCAACAGCAACAACAGCAGCAGCAGCGTGCGCGCCTCTTTCGCCAGGAATCGGGCACGGCCAATTTTGGCCTAAATTCGAACGTGGAGATACAGCCAAGCAACTCGTTTGACGCGCTCTTGCCACCGACCCTTGTCAGTCAACAGCAGCAGCAGCAACATCAGCATCAGCATCAGCAGCAACAAAGCTTGGACAATCAAAATTTCTATCGCCAGCATTTGACGCCGCAATTGAGCAGCCAATTGCAGCAGAATGCGCAGCAATACTTGCAACAACAGCTGCAGCAACAGCAGCAACAAAAGGCGCCCGCCGCAAGCGGCAATGTCAATTCAGGTAATCATCTATACTATAACAATAGCTTAAATCAGAGAATCAAGCCAACAAATAATCTTAGTCAATTTAGTAATTTAAAAAACTTTGAAGAATTGAAAATAATTAGTAAAGTTTTAGCTCTGAACCACGGCATACCACCATTTGCGTCACAAAATCTGCACTTCAATGTCGGGGGAGCCAGTGGCACTTTCTAGGCCCACCAACCAGCATCTCTATCACCCAGCACTAGCACTTGCACCACCACAATCAGCACCACCAACACCACCACCACCACCACCGTCACAAAGAACAACCACCCAGCAGCACTCTGAGACAGACCCAAGAAATTATTGTCCCAGCACTTTTGCATACTGCACTTGAATGACCGTTCCCACGATCCTAAGCAGGATGCTCCCTTCTATATAGTACATATACTTGTACTTGTAGTATGTATCTGTATGTCTTTTATGCTCTTTGTAAATATGCGTTCAAAAAATGATAATAATAAGAATAATACAGAATATATACTATTTTAAGAGACGCAATCAGAGCTGCCAGAGCGCAATTGTTTTGTGGAACTTAATTGTTTACTTTCTTCTGCGCGCTTGGCCAGGTTAAATGTTGAAATGTAATAATTATTTATTTTTATGTGAATAAAGTTAATCGTAACGAAAAACTGGTGCGTTGTTTGTAGTGATTCCTGTACGATACAGTTAAGGTAAGTAATCTAAAGAGATAAGAGCTTGAATTTAACATTAAAAATATAATGTTATATTCTTTGCAGGATTTAAAACAACTTAGTCAAGTCTTTAGTTGTATTTTTAATTAACTTGCACATGTATTGCGTTTGAGATAGTTCCATATTAAATTATTTACACATTTTTAGGGAATGTATAAGCTGTCTGCCCAAAAGTATGCAACATAATTTCCTGGGTATTAACATTTGTACCTGGCTTAGAGATGGCAGACGTAACACTTTACATAATGAGTAACAGGTGGCGCTGGTGACTATTTGGCGACTACGAATGTTGAAGTTCTCCGCCAAACTTGTGGAAGTATTGTTTTTTTGTGCCATATTATTCTGCCTCAATAGCATTCGTAATTGTAAGCTTTAAAAAGAAGCAGAATTTTTGAGAATCCCCACTATTGGAAAATGCTCGCTGTAATTCGGAAGTTTTCACCAACCACATCAAAATATCAAGTTTTGGATTCAGTTATGCCAGGTTTTTTCTTGTTTATTGCACAGTTACAATATACATGTTCACTTTCATATAATTTATTACATCTAAATTACTACATATATGTATATATATAAAAATATGTGGGCTCTCGCTGTCCGCTATCATTACTGAGTTTGAGGGGGTTAGGTTAATAGTTGGTAGCCGTGATCGGATGGCCAAAATGCCAAGCACACGATTCTAAACATAGACAACAACTTGGAGCGGAGAAACTCACTTGGTTGGCTGATGAAAGCCAAAGGCTAAAATTACACAAGAACTTACAAGAACTAACACTAAACAAGAGTTGTGAATAATTTCTTTTTTAGGCTGCATCTTATACAAAAGCCGCGCTCTTTGCCAATTTCCAGGGCAATTAATTTAACAGTTTAACAGGGTCGCTTGTTTTCCTACATGCTACTAATTAATATAACAATGTTTTTGCTACTCAGTTTTGGGGAGGGGCGGGTTTCAACTAATTGCTAAATATATATCTAAAAGCTATAATAGATTGTCAGACATAGTGACGCTGCTTAATTAATATATGGTACACGTACTATTTTTTTGTGGGTTTTCATATTCTTTTTTTATAAAAAAAATTATAAGAATTCGTTTTGAGCTTAACAAAAACGCAAGCTAACTAAACTAACTAACAATAGAGTAATATTCACTCATTATGTATAATAAATATTTCAATATGTTTGCATCTTGTTTCCTTCACTTATGGTTTAATATATATTTTTGTCGCTACCTATAGATAGATAGAGCAGCTGCACTTAAAACTATCATAAAAATTATTATCATTATTATGTATATGCATATAAAAAATATTCTTTACAATTCGTATAGTTTGCTCAAGTCTTAAGAGTACAGTTGATTTCAATATGAATTTATGAATTTAAAGGTTGAACGCACAATGTGCGCGTTTTGTGGGAGCGTCAAGGATTTAGTGTAGTTGCTCTGCTTTGATTTTGTTACAGGGTCTATCTGTCTGTCTGTGTCTGTCGTTGGGAGAGTCAATTATTACAACTGACTGTATTTCCTCTACATATATATATTTAAATATGTACATATGTAGGCTTAGGGCTCTAAAAGTATGGTTTACATATTTGCTGCTGCAGTTGCAGCTGCTTCATCATCATTCTACTACATAAGGCACACGTTTTTGTTACATCAGTTGTAGGTTTAGGGTTAGTTTAAGTTGCTTTCATCTTTCATTTACACATACACATACATAAATACGTTTATGCGCAACGCAAACATTCCAAATGGCTTAGAAACAAAGAAAATGAGTTAATAAATATCAAATTAATTACAATAATGTACAGAAGAGTGTGGGAGTGTGGGAGACTGCTCTAAACCTCCACGCCATAGGTGCGATCGATGACATAGTCGTAGCGCTGCTGTTCTGAGTTTTCTGCATCGGCAGGTGCCTCAGGCGCAGCAGTACCATTGCTCAGGATAGGCTGTTTGGGCACCGCTCCTCCAGAGGCGTTGGCCACGGCAGTAGTCAGCTCGCGACGCGCTTGGCTGCCCGCATGATTATGATGATGATGATGCTCACTGAGATTCTTATTTCTATTGTTACTGGCAACCAGAGCACTGTTGATGGCAATGGCTGTCTCAGCAGCTTTGTCCTCCTCGTCTTCTTCCTCCTCCTCCTCCTCGATGGCATCGGGATCAGGCAATGTGTATTCGGTGGGCAGTTCAGGCACGGCCATGCCTGTGCGCGTAAAGAATGTCATTTTCTCTCTGGATGGATGGAAAGGAAAACAGTATGTTGATTTAGTGAGGTTGGACTTCATAGACTTCAAAAATAACGATAGATACTCACTTGAATGACACCAAATCCGGACAACCCTTGGGCACCTTCGTCTTGCGCAATTTGTGTATTTCTTTGGCGGTCTTCATGAGCAGCTTCTGCAGCTGGCGCTCCTCTGGACACTTGGAGGGATCGGCACGTGCCACCAGGCGCTGGAACTCCTCGTTTTCAATGGCCCAGGCAGCAATCTGGGGATCCTTATTGTCGGCTGCCTTTTGCAGACTATAGAAGAAGTCGAAAAGTGGGCGTTAGTGAGAAATTCTATTCGTTGAACCATATGTCTGTGAACACTTACACTTCCTTGAGGTTCTGCAGCTTGGCGATTTGATCATTGAGGAAGAACAGCTTACTATGCTGCGCTTGCAGGTCGAGCTCCAAGTCCAAGCTGGTGCGTGGAATCTGAGTATGATGTAGTTCTGTGCGCGATGATATATGGTTGTTAATTTTATGTCATTTAATTTGAAAGCCTTACTGAGACACTTACTTGAGACTGACTTGGACGCTTTGGTGTGGAAGCGTAACGAGCGTCGTTCGGCGGCTCCGCGATGGAAGGTGTGAGGCGTTACACCAAAATGCATGGCCGAGTCCGAGTCACTGCGATTGAGGCGACACGTGTAGCGATTCTTGCTGACAGCCGCCGAGGGGGTGAAGGTCTGCGAACGCTTGACGGGTCTGTCATCCAGCAGCTGGCCGCGCGACTTTTCTGGCAGAAAGGCGCAATCTGTATTGGTTTCCTTGTCGGCATACTCCTGCTTCATGTTCTCCAAATAGGCGTCTAGCATGCAGGCCGCTAAAGAGTATGGCATAAGTCATTAAATTGATTTTGTAGGTGCGCTACTATTTAGTGGCTACTTACAATGCGTTGTGACGACGCCACCTACAAGATTCTCCTCCTCTTCTTCCTCATCATCATCGTCTTCATCGTCACTGCACTGCTCACCATTAAGATTCTCGTGTTCGGGCAGCTCCTCGGCTATTTGGGCCTGCAGCTCCAAGGGCGGCGCTTGATTGCGAGTCAGAGTCGACGTCTGCGACGAGGTTATGGTTGACTCATCAGAAGATTCTTCCTTGCAGTTTGCTGCAGTCGCAAGTGTAGCCGAAGTATGTGTGGCGGCCACGGCCGCAGCGGCGGCAGCAGCACTGGTCGACGGCATTTCGAGCGTTTCAAAGGTGGGCATGAACTTTGAGCTCAGCACATTGTACCACTTGAGCGTGGAGTCGTCGGGGTTGAATTCGGCCATGCTGATTTGTACAGTGCCCTGTGAAATGTAGATCAAAGCATTAGTATATATCTCGGCGTTGAAACTTATCTAGGAACTTACGATAATCTCCTCCTTCTGGCCAGTCATGCTAACCACAGTGACCTGCAGACTCTTGGTAAGCAGCTTGTCTAGGGAAATGGGCACGGCGAAGGTGTCATTGAAGACGGGCTTCTGGAAGTCCGACAGCGCCTTTGTGCGTATGGAAGTGAGGGAGTTGGGCAGCAAGGCGGCACGCAGATAACTGTGGAGATGATAGAAGAGTTTTCATAAGCAACATGACACAGCGACATCAGGTGAATGGTAACTTACACTTGCGAGTTGTCCGTGGTGGCTGTCCATAGAGCGGATAAATTGTTGGCACGTTCTAGCGAGACGACCAATACACCTTCTTGCTTCAGATACTTCAGACCTATCTGCACCTGGGCAAGCTCCTTGCGCGGCAGATGGCGCGATGCTTCAAAGACACCCGAATCCCCAGCTACGGATTCATTGCTAACGGCCGCCGAGACTGGACGCGTATTTGAGGTGGAGGAGGATCGACTGAGCATTTCCTGTGGCAGATCCAGCAGTGAAGGTTTCTCGGAGATGGGTGACAGTGGCGCTGCGAGATTGAGCGGCGAAGACATATTAAGTTTCTGCAGCTTAGCCTCGAGCATCATGCAGTCAAGCACAGTGGAGTCTAGATCGTAGGGATGACCACCACGAACGATGGCAGCTGGGACGATGGCAGCTGGAGTCGAAGGGTAGGCGGGTGGTGGCATCGCATTGGCATAGGTGGGCTCCTCCTTCAGCTGCAGCTGTGACTGCTGCTGAAGATCCGCGGCTGCATTGTATTTCATTGGCGATGCAGGTGGTGTCTCCATGGACAGGCTGCTGCGTGGCGACAAAGATACCTCCGAGGACTGCTGCTGTAGCGGCGCATGCACCTGCGAGGCCAATTGATGCTGCTGCCGTTGCTGTAACTGTTGCTGCTGGAAGAGACGCTGCGAGCGTCGATGCAGGTCAACCACATCGATTGGCGAGTCTACGGCAAACGGATCGATATAGATGTCCGTGAAGCTCAGGGCGCTCTTGCTGCTGGCTGTTGACAGGGAGCCTAGACTGGAGCCACTGCTAATGGAGAAGGTGCTCTCCGATGAGAAGGACTTGAGACGCTCCTCCAGCAGCTTGGTCGACTTAAGGGCCTCCTGCAGCTTGTCGAGCAGCAGCTGTTTCTCTTCGTGCAGTCGCAGGCGATTCGCAATGCATGTGTTGGTTGCCTCGTGCGCTTCACGAAGATCATCCTCGAGCTTTTGGCGCGTTTGCTGTATTACCTCCTTCTCCCCTGGGCTGCGCGATTTCAGCGAGATGCTGTTCAGGTCATTCAGCAGCTTCTCCTTCTCCTGTATGAGCAGAATGCGATCCTTATCCGATTCCAATTGACCGGGCTCGATGCGTTCGACATGATCTGCCAGCTGCTGCTGCAGTTTCTTGATGTGCTTGCGCCACTCGGCGTATTGCAGCTTCGTCTTGGCCATTTCAGCAAAGCGGGCGCCGCTGTTTAGCGCGTTATCGCCGGCTCCACATAGATCTGTCTGCGATGCCACGCAGACGCGATCGAAGGGCGAGGCGGCATTCATGAGCTCTGTACTCTCCTCATTGATCTGTTGGCGACTCAGCTCGTTCTTGATCTGCACTAGACAGCGCATCAGCTCCTCGCGCTTCTTCTCGCCCGACACCAGCGACTTGTGCACCTTTAGCATCTCCTCGCGTATGGCCTGCACTTCGGCGATGTCATAGCAACCGTTCTGGCGTGCATTGATCTTCTCGCCCACTGAATATAGGGTGTTTACACCCCGTTCCGTGTACGAAATATCATTGGTTATGTGTGTGAGTTCCTGTTTCAATTGACGGACACGTTCGCGAGCCAACATCAAATCGGCGCGCAGCAATTCAGGATCGTGCCTGCTCATGGAGCTGGACGACGAGCACACTGCGGGTTTGAAAAAAAAAAAAAACAATTTAGCTATAAGTTGCTTGGGTAAATGAGGTAAGGGTTGACTTACGACTGCTGCGACTGGCCGCCAGTTTGTTCAGATGGTTGTATTCCTCTTGAGCCAACAGTAGGCGCTGCTGCTTCACATCATAAATCTCACGCTTATTCTCTAGCTGATCCTGGGCCGCGGACAAATAGTCGCTAAGCATTTGCTCCTGCACGCTCTTCCACTCCTGGCGTGGATCCTCGAGCTGTGTGGTTCGCTCTATGTGGTTGATGTAGTAGCGTCCGATATTTGAGTCGTAGGCCTCTTCCCAGCCCACGGGTAGCTCATCGCCCACACAATCCTCGAACGACTGTGGCTTCGTGTAACTGCAAAAAGGAAGGGAACGGGGAATACGGATGAGTAAGAGCGCTCTCGAGCTGACCTTATCAGCTTATTTACACACAAATGGCGCACAGACTGGCAAACAGACAAATCGCTAATGAATTTCCGTCCGAAAGCAGATTCAACAGATCATTTGCTCTCTAGCCGGTCTTTTTGGTCTTTGTCGCATCTCCAACAAATATATAAATATATATAAGTATATGCATGTCTTAGCGCTTGGAACCCGTTTGTCCGGCCACTGTTCCCACGCCATTTAGGCCCCCATTGATATTGACTTTGCATAGCTGCGTTTCTTAAGTGTATTAGTTACAGAATGTGTACGAGTATGTGTGCCCCTTCTTGATAAGCTGGGGGCTGGGGCTGTGTTGGTGCTGGGGCTGGTATGCGTCTCTTTGGCATTTCCTGTGAAATTCGGGTAAAAGTTGGCACAAGTGTACAAAATATTGTTGTTAACGCCATAGTGAAATATTTGCCAAAGCTATCGGCGGCTTTAATTTGTGGAATTGTGGAATGTGTGTACAGCCGAAACGACTACGAGACTAAGGCTACGATGAAGACGACAACATTGTTGTTGTTGTTGCCATATGTCTAATCTTATCTCCGCATTTTGCGGTAAAATGCTGATGACGATGTCGCCGTCGTCGACGTCGTTGCGGCTAAGCTTTATTTTTTCATTCTCTCTCCTGCTACTTTGCTGCCGTTTATTTGCGAAACTCAATTTCAATATCAGCCAAACAACATTTTCGCATTCCAACGATAATTGCTAATCTTCATAAATTAATTGCTCCAATGTGTGCGGCTGTCTATAAGTGTCTGTGCCATGTATACATCGTATATATAGTATAGCAACGCATCGCATCGCATCGAATAGATAACATGTCGTGAGCTCAATTGAAATAAATATTTTTGTTTTCTTTCAGGCAGGCCATTTTTATGATTTGTTAATTAATCATTGCTGTGGAATTCTGGAGGCCATTAAATTTAAAAAAAGGCCAGCCATGATAATCAAATTTGCGTAGATATATACATACATATGTATATACATATTTAAAGCAGACAATTTATATTTAGGCAATATATACTCTATATATGTAGATGAGCTCAATGGTCAAAGATTGTTGCGCAGCATTCCATAATAAATTTTCCTAGAAATTAACACTATAGTTGATGGCACTTGACTACCGAATGCTCTATTCACAAGTTGTTCAGAATACACGGCTGTCCATGGTACGAATTAATTATGAACCAAGGTGTCCAAGTTCGTTGTAGATTTCTCTGATCTAAGCTTTACTTGATTTTCATGCACCTTAAAGGAATACTATTGTACAGTTTTGCATCTCTAGCTTTTGCAGACTGTTAGATCGAGAGGTTCATACATGCAGATGTCTGTTCCGAATGCTACACCCTCGCAGTAATTAGGAATGGTAATAACCCAAGCTTAGCTTGAGCCGCATAGAATTATAGTAATGCTCCAATAGAGTAGCTTGTATAGCCTTTATATCTAGTAGATGCAGACGTGATTCAATGCTAATCAAAGCTAATATACCCTCTCACGTATTGGGTATTACATTCGCGCGCACTGCAGCCCGAAGATATATAATCTGTATGTTTGTTGGCTTACTTTAATCGTTTTAGCTAGAATTTTGCTTGTTGACGCAGGCATAAAAAATAAAACAGACGCAGAGCATTTAGCGATGTGTGGCGCAACGAAGATGTACACAAGCAGCCAGCAGCGGCATCATCCTCAACACCATCATCATCATCATTATCATTAGGCTCTTGTGATTGATTTCTTGAGCAATTTGCGAAATGGTTCGATGAATCGCTTTCATGATAAGTCTCTTGGGGAGCAGCTGTTGCCCAGTTTTGGTGGCCAGCTTATGGAGGACGCTTAAACGTGCGCTTGCTGAGGCAACAACGGCTTTGTCCACAAATGATATTAATAATAGCGTATACTATATGTACATTTCGATTCGATTGGACTTTAGCTGCGCTTTGGCGATCACACAAAGGCCATGCATTTTGCACTTCAGACACAATAAACTCGCTTTGTTTAGATAAAACGAATTTAAACGAAACAAAAACAAAAAAAAAAGTGGCACAAAAACATTATACAGAGGTGGGGTGTTGTATCTTTTTTTTTTGTTTTTTGTAGATACACATAAAAATTGCAGCCGTATGAAGTAAACAAACAGACTGTGAGGCAGCCAACAACACAGACAAATAAAATGCAGCCAAAGACATGTGCCAGAATTTTGACATTATGACAACAAAAGGCAATGGAGATTGCGATTGCGCAGAAGCGACGTTGAAGTTGAAGTCAACAAGAGCAGCAAAAAAAAAAAACAACTAAAGACAACAGCAGCAATGGTTTCATAATTCAAATTTCAACGAATTTATGTATTTAATTGCTTATTTTCATAAAGTCTTTCGTTGCCCGCTCGCCCATAAATAAATAAACAAAATACACTTTCTATCTGCTTGCATTAGACTTATTATCATTATGACAATTATTGTGGCTGTTGTTCTTCACATTGTTATTGTTTGCACAGGTTTCAATTGGATTGAGGCGGAAGTGCCGCTGCAGGTGTCACAAACAGCGGCACAAACAACAAATCAGCACTTTCGATTAATCAGAAAATTGAACCTCCACTCCACCGGTACTCAGTTATATTATTTACATTTATTAGATTTTGCTTAGACTTCAGCGACCGTAGCGAGCTCAGAAGACACATACATATACTTACGAAGCTTTTCAGACTTGTTCCCCTTTCCAAATTCGTGCAAACTATGCGGAATCGAAATAAGCTATTTCTTTTTAAAATTTAAAATGAACTCAGAATAATTTAACTGAAATACACCCTTCCTTTTAGCAATCACTCCTATGGCAGTTGTATGATAAAATATGGACGCTATATATGGTTCGCAATAAACATACTTTGCGTATCTTATACCAATTTTGGTGTCCCTAGTTGTTATATTTTAAAAGTTGCCGGTGTTCATACTGACGGACAGACACTAACGATTTGATCCTATATAAGAGTATGTGTATGGGATTTACCGTGAGTCTTTCACCCTTCGATCGAAGGGTATAGAAAATATTGACGTTATTCGCATTTGAAACTGGCTAGTGGACCACACAAGGTATAAAAACCACGCTATTAAATAAAATTTAAATTTTAAGACTTCCGTTTTTTTCGTTAACTCTTTCCTTCTTCACATTGTTTTTGGAAATTAAGAAAATTTTAGCTATATATTCATTTGCCGAAACTAGGAAAAGTGTGCAGGCATCTTCGTTTATTCTTTTAACTTTGCTGTTTTGATGCATAATTTAAAATAAATCGGTATTATAAGTATTATGAATTAGAATTCCATAGACTATGACTACATGCCATGCAAAAAGTTAAGCTAGGCTAAAAAAATGTTGGCTCTTGGTACCTGACTACACCAACTCACGACATTATATATTGTATGACTGTATCATTAATAGTTTTTATCATCAGATAAGAATTTTAGATTAGAAGATAAATATGAAGTGACCTTCAGCACCGCGACAATCTCAATAGGATTGGCGAGAATTAAAATGGCCTTAATTAGACAGACTCGTAACTCAAATTTTAGACGGGTAGGGATATACACATTTCCTCTTAGCATCAGACCCTGTTGTTGTTAGAAATATTGAATAATCCTGGAACTTCCCCTCCCTCTTGCAAAGTGGTACCTGAGAGCAGTAAAAATCAATGAGACTTAAAGACGCCATTGTCAGTCTATGTGGCACGCAATTGAATGACACTAGACTCGGGCGCTCACGAGCCAAAAAAATAAAAAAAAATAGTCGCACCCCATAGTAAAAAAAAGACGCCAGTAATAAGGCTTCTCTTTTCTCTCTTCGTCTTCGTAGTCGCTTCTCCTCCCTTCTCATCACTCGGCCAGCTTTTGCTGACGTTGACAGTTGGGGGCCAGTCTTAAAGCCTATCGACTGTTATATTTGTTTCTTGCTACCCACATGATGTGCCATAAAAAACAACCAACAACATTAAACTGAAAGATACGCATAGATACTGAAATTGTTGTTTAATATTGTAAGAGCGGCATAAATTAAATTATTGTAAACAAAATATTTATGGCGCGGCGCAGTCGACGACGGGCTTGTAATAAATTCGCGCTTAAAAGAAAAATATGTAAAAAATAAATGAAGTCCAAAAACAAGTTTCAAGCGCTCAAAAATATTTCAGCATGTATTTTGTTGTCACAATAGCGGCAATAGCAACAACAAAAACAACAACACGGCATTGTGGGGCATGGGCATGGCTGCTGTTAAGTGCGTGCGTGTCGTGTAGTTGTGTGTGTAATAACAACACACACACACACTCAGAGAGAGAGAGAGACAAGCGGCAGTTGTTGTTGGTTTTGATGATGGCGGCAACGCTCGCGACGACGAAATCAGCGACTTTGTTATTAGAAAACAGCGGCTGTGACAGCAACAACAACAATCACATTTAACCTTAACCCTTTTCAGCTGTTGGGGTGCAAAACGCAAAAATATTTGCAACACATGATTGATTGGTTTAAAAGAACAACTGCAATACTGTTTCAAAATGAAATGATTAAATAGCTATTGCTTTCAGTTCCTTATCTTTGCACTAGTTTTGACACAAACAGCGCTGCTATTGGAATTTATAGTTCTTATTTGCAGCGTTGCTACAAAGTCAATAAATGATTAAACGTTTCTGTTTGTTATTCAGACAACGCCCGTTTAAAAATGAAACGCCAAAAGCAAAAGTTGTGGTCATTGTTTCTTTTAGAACCAAGTAGAGGAAGAGGGTGAAATAGGTCAAGAGTTACCCTGGTAATCTGAAGATAATAATTCCAACCGCATTTCAGGAAAATCAAATAAATACAATAAAATTTAGCTATCAATGGTGAAATTCTGCTCACTGAAGACCCCAAAAGACAAGGCTAGCTAGACGACACAATCATGTTA